TTTTTTGTGTTTAATGTATCGCACTGTTTATTTGTTTTTTGGTGTACAGAAAGGAAATATCTCTCTCTCTCTCTCTCTCTCTCTCTCTCTCTATCTCTCTATCTCTACCTCTAGCAAGCTTGCGAATTTTGTGCTGCTCATCGCGTATCACCAGGAAATATACTCAAGTTTAATATATATCTCGTATTTCAAACAGAAACGTACGATGGATTCGTATTTCAAGACCTGCCACACGAGAACGATACGAAAAAATGTCTAAACAACAATGTTATTACATTATTTTCAGTGAGTCTTCAAAGATAAATTGCGAATCACTATAATCAAAAGAAATAACTAGAATAATATATGAAATACAAAGTAAGTATAGTATCTTGTAGATATGTAGTTAGATTATAATATTTAATAGTTTAGATGTGTACTAGATAATTAGATATCAAGATATTTACTCGCCACAGATAAGCCCGTTTAGCGCTGTTAATTCCCGCCAATTTGATAGCACAAGTAGGTATGTGAAAAAGTTTTATTTGTTTTCTTATATTAGCAAGCATTGACGCATAACATTATACAAATATTTATTATTACAGCCCGATAATAATAAAAGTGTGTGTACAGATTTGCTGTTTTGATTATGTTGAAGGAGATAATTTTTCGTAGACTGCTTGTTGCCAACCAAATATAGGTAGGTACATACAACGTGTTTCACGATTTTGCAATCTATCATAGGGCTGTCAGTTACAAATATTATTAGCGTGGGCTGTGTGAAATTTTCGTAATAATATTAACATATAAATTACCTATCCATCTTTGAATATATTATAAATGTATTTGAAAGGACTAATTGTTTTTTTCTTAATCTATTCATTAATGTAGCGTTGTTTAACTGATTAAATTGAAACTTTGTATAATACAATTTTATTATTGTTATTTCAAATACGATTGGTGAAGCTGTGAAACCTTCGGGTCAACATCAATCGTTTCAAAAAAAGGCCATAAGCTTGTCCATCAATCAAGTGGAATTTATGACAGATAAATCGTTGAATCACTATTGCTACTACAGCGAAATGTGGATTGCATTATCATCATCAGATTGTATCTTTCCACTGCTAAATTTAGGCCTCTCCCATAGTCCGCCACAATGTACGATTCAATGCCTTCCGCATCCAATCTTCTCCAGCATATCGCCGCAAATCATAAATTTGATTGCATTAACTCCTACCAAAATCAAGAAACCAACGATTCCTAAATAATTTACTTGTAAAAATTTATAATATGTTATTTCAAAGTATAGCTAGTGAATATAGGTGGATAGTTATTTCTCGTTCTAAGAAATAAACTGACTTTTTTTTTATTGCTTATATGGGTGGACGAGCTCACAGCCCACCTGGTGTTAAGTGGTTACTGGAGCCCATAGATATCTACAACGTAA